TCCAGCCAGACTTGAACCGTTGACCTTGACTGTGGGGGCATGGGAGCTTAACCGCTAAGCTATGGGACCCACACCCGTATTTAACATATTATATATATATAGCATATAAATAAGAATGACTTAACTAAATATAAACATAATTTTACTATAAAAGAAGACTAGAATAAGTTTTTAAGAATGTGGTAATTAGTAGTCACATTAATTACAGAACAAGAATTTATAATTTAATAAGATAAGTTTTTAAAATGTTATGAAAGCAAACCTAAAGCTATAAAGTACTTTTAAGAAATCTGGATATTATATAAAGAATGTTTTGTCTTTACTTAGACTGAAAATTATCTGCATCTTGGTAATAAGGTAACCTTAGTATAAAAGCTGCATATTTAGTATTTAAAAGATGTTTATAGTCATCAGTAGATGATCTCAAGTCAGTACATTGTAAAATTGTTTTACAAATTAAATTTTAAGTAAAGAAAATTTGTGCATGAATTTCCTATAAACATACATATATATCAGATTCTTCTTTTTGAACTTCTTCTATACTGTGTTTCTATTTTTGCTCTAAATAAAATCTGCAATGAGTAGGTTAAAACATTAAGCACAACATTAGACTTATTTCTGAACCCATGTACAGGAACTTTTAAATCTATAATAGAATTATTATACTTATATATAATTAGTAAACATTTAGCAAGTGATCAAGTATTATAACAATGTAATATTTATAAACACTGATAAACCAAAGTCACTATATAGAAATTTTAAAACCAATATTCTTTGCAAATAATAATTATACTGATTTTTAACCTCTTCTTCAATCTCTTGCACAAGCATATCATTTCTGGCTGCTATACAAACAAGCTACTATTTATGCTCAATTGGAAGGTTTGGTAAATATTTCTTTTATTTTGATAAAAAATCTGATTACTAACAAGTCACAAGAAAGACAAAAAAGAATAGTCTAAGATCAGTATAAAGAGACTCAACCACTTTTAAAAGTGTTAAAAAAAAAATAAAAACAATATGAGATATGTTATCAAACTGACTATAATAGTCAAATATGTTCTAGTGTATTAATATGTTCTGTAAAAATTATATAACAAGAATCTCTAGTGCTTTTGTAAAATATTATAAAGCTTTATTAGTTTGAATTATATGTTAACAATAATAGCTAAACAGAATTAAATTTAAACTTAGCAGCTGTTTATTTAAAGAAATTTAAACTATAGTACTTTAACAATTAAGAAATTCAAATACAAATGTTTATGTTAATTATGTTTTTCTATATTGACTTTATAAAAGTTTTAAATTATTAGTATAAAGAATCTTTTCTTACAAAATTAATTTTAGTTTAGAATTACTAGTAGGTATGTATATATATATATATAAATATGTATGCTGGGTGGTTTATTTAGAAGTTACATAAACATATTTAGTTTGTATAACCTATATGATGTAATGTTGAAGCCAAACAAAATTGATTATATAATATAAACAATGTCATAATGGTCCATATTGGCCAGAGGTCAGGTCTGATCACATAGAGGTGATATCAGCAAAAGTAAGAGGTGACATTAGCAGATCTTTATTAAATTTGATTAAAAACTTAGTAAGATATAACTTTTAAAGATTAGATATAAAAATTATTAATTAAATTAGTTTATAAGATTACATAAATTAACCAATCAAATTTGATATTCTTGTATTACCTAGAAAATTTTGAACTATCCTAGAAAATTATGTAATATATATAAATATATATTTTTTAAATATAATAATAGTTTAAAATTTTACTATAATATAATTATTTTATTTATATTTTGTAAAATTTTAATAAAAATTGATTATAATTTAAAAAAGTTTTATAAGTAGTATATTTTAATTTTATATAAAAATTTCAAAATACCATATAAAACTATATAAAAATGATCTATGTACCCTCTACCCTTAATCTACGTTTATTTAGAATCAACCTAACTGGATTCTAAATCCACCATAATTTCATTCCAACATACGACATACAATATATAATCGATACAATTTGTTGATCAGAATTATTTGAGTGGTTAGCTAATATACCTATAAAAACTATATACTACTGTGTATATATATATTTTTGTACGGGCCCACAACTAAGTCATTGTTATGCCTAAGCTAATTGTTAATTTTAGGCTAGTCAACAAATTTAGGTCGATTACAAACAGTAAAAAGAATACTTGAACGTGCCAGTTTACTCGTTTTACGTATTTTTACATATTTAACAGGTTTTGGACCAACACTGCATTATTCAATTGTTCTATTGCATATTTGAAGATCTTTTTGCCCCCTAAAAAAAAAAAAATTTAAACCCCCAAGTTTTCGTATTAAAATAGGTCCAATTTCAGGATCTGCCATTTTATTCTTTAATCTCTTTAGTCATAATATTTACTTAACAACATCACAAAAAATGTCAACTCAACCTGAAGCTTCCAATCAAGAACATGAAGAATACCCATTTAATGTCTTTGACTATGAAAAAGATGGGTTTAAATTCGTTCTTCGCTGCAACGGATACACTGCACAAATCATGCTTGAAGACATCAAACGATTCGCCGATGTTGTAAGCACCAGACCAAGTGGTATTGTTGGTTTCTACGTAACGCCGTACGAAATCCCGGATGGAGTTGAAGATTTCGTACGAACATATAGACGAACCATTATTATTTGCTCCGACAAAGACCTCCTCGGGAAAGTCAATGAACAAGCAGAAATCGCTAGACAAGAACGCCAGCAAGTGGCACAACAGCTCGAAGCAGTTGGTTGCGAAGTCTTGTCCATTCGGGAACTTTAAAATTTATATCATAAATACCTAAGGATAAAAATTTAAATATGCTTATATCGTGTTATATCAAGATCATGAACTTTTGCGAACCGATTCTTGTTGAAATAAAAATGCATTTATCATGAAAACAAAACGTAAATATTATTGTATTCACAATATCAATTAAATAACAAATCTATATAAAAAAATCTCTTTAAATGCTCAAATCGTGTACATCATCGAAGATCACTATGTAGATACAGTGTTATCCAATGAATTATTGTACCTTGGATTTCAGGTTACCATATACGTGTAAAAGCAATTTCTACTTAAGGAAATACTAATGTAATCATTGGTCAGGATCTCCAATCAATCTTCGCCATCAATTAAATAATTCGAATTGTTTTACGATACGCATCGCGACGATTTTTCTTACTAAAAGAATTCGTGTATTTTAATTCCATATTCTCAAACACTTTAAGATCAATTGATTAGATGTGCTATAGTCCATAAAAATATTAGATAATCATTTGCAGCAAATTAATTGAGTTTTACGTTGTTTTGATAATAACGTTCTTCGAGCATCCAAGGCTCACTATGAAAATCCAAATCGTCTTCTAGGTTCATCAAACTTAACTTCATTCATTTTCACTTTTTTCGAATGCTTTGCACGTCAAAACGAACTTCTTCTAAGTATTTGTCAAATCGACGCAATTATTCACAACCTTCATCAATTAGAAGCTCATAGGAGAAGTTCTTGATGATTGGCTAATTTTTTATGGATCTACCCATGGTAATTAACCAATCAAATCACAATTTTTAAAGGATTCGTTTAATACAGATACTGTTGTCAGAGGTAAAACCGTAATGCCACAAAACGTGAAAAAATGATCGTAATAGTGGCCTATTTACCTAATCGTTAGTGCCCATGACGATCCACTTGAAACATATGCGCCCGGCCCCAAGAAAGCCATATGATTATACACAAGCCTCAAGATGGGACCCACCACTCACCCAATTGAAGAAAAATCGACCAAGACTTACCTGTTCGTACCAATACGGCTAGGAATGGAAGTTAAACTCCACTTTACCCTACTTGGGATAAGTGTGAGGCGATGACAAGGGGTACGATTGTGGTGATAATGTTTGTTTATCAACACTGAAACATTTCTCATCGGTTCTATGACGACCGTGAGAAATGCTAAAGTAACGAAAGGCTGTGTGTATGAAGAAGTTAAAGGTTGGAACAAATAAGGTTGGGATTCAATGGGGAGTAAGGGAGAAAAGTCGTGGTCCTGTGCGTGCTCTTCTCGCCGTCAATTTGTTATAAATAGAGTGGGAATTTTCCCTCTTGTAAAAGACAGTTCAGTAGAAGTGTGCCCTTACAAAATAATAAATTTATTAATAAAGACCCTCTGAACCCATAAAATATAATAAACGCTCTTTAAAGTATCTGCACTAATCTGTAATGTCCTCAAAAGCCGCCTTAACCCGTGCCAAATCGTAACCGCCTCGCTCTCGCTTTTGAGCAACGTTACGCGATGTCAACCACTTCGTAGCGACAATTCGTCGCATTTTCCCCATCTGCGATCCCGACCATCCAGCCCGTGATACTATTAAAAAAAATAAAATAAAATCAGAGAAAAACTTTAGATAAAAAAGCTTATATGTAATAAATACATACAAAAGAATTATCACATATAGTTAGAGAATAGATAGATACGCACAAAGTGGGATGAATCTATAGGATATAAATTAAAACTTTAATTAACGGTTGACAAACCCAACACCAACCAAATTTAAACATTAAACCTGGATCTTTTACTATTAAGGTTTTACCTATTTCAAATTAAACAGTTGCAACAAAAGCTTATTTAAATCTTATAATGTAGATAATGTAGCGGTAGTCTTAGACGAAAACATCTCCAGTTACCTTCGCTCTACAATGTAATTTCGCACGGTCCAATAGCTGGGTGGTATATTTGTACAGTGAATATTAACGTTCGTTTAGAGCTATGAATGGCTTCTGAGGTGATTTTTGATTAATGAAACGTGAAAAGTACACAAATGATTTACATTATCCAATCAAACTTCTTCCTATGAATCACATTCGATCCCCAAAAAATTTAAGAACTTGCGACTTACAACCAATCAAATTTCAAGATCAAATGTATTTTTTTAATAGTAGAAACAGAACTGCCAAATATTCTGATACATAGTTGTAATAGAAGTTTCACCAGAGTTTTTCTGCTCGCATTCTTTTTCCTATACCAGTTTTATCAGAGTCCCAGATACATCTAATTTATAATACGTACCAAGAAGTTATAGTGTTTAAATATAAATGTTTTCAATGCCCTCAATGTTCTCAAAAATTGTTTTTGGTCAAATTAGCTGAATTTTGGTGGCGTCACTCGGTTATCTTCGTGATAAAAAACTTTATATGTTTGAGAAACGTGCAACATGATAGACATCATTGATATGTTGATACATAATACAGTATATAAAATGATATTACCGCGATCGTAGTGTAAGTTTGGTTCATATTTTCAATCGAAGATTATAGCATTCAGTTTAATTGAGTAAATTAAGAAAAAAGTTCTTGCATTTTTATATATCATGTTGACAATGGTAATAGTAATAATTCGCTTTCAAAGAAAAAAAATCAAATAGTAAAAAATTCATAAAGATATTGTAAGAAAGAATGGGATTTGGGCTTTAGGGAATATGTTTATATAAATAAATTTTTCTGAAATTTCAAATCACTTAATTTTCATTCCCACGACAACATATACATACGTATAACAATAAATTATTATATGTACTGTACATATCGATATCGAAATACTATTGCTATTTACCGTTAGGCTGTTAAAAGCTTGATGAACCCGATCATTGAGTCGACTTGAACATTTTGAGATCGACTCTAAGCCTGTTTCGTACAAAGTCCAAATATATGAAGTGCCATCTCTGCTTTGTTCCAATTATGTTTAGTTAAGGAATTGGGGAATATGTGACGAGCTTAAGAATCCCCTATTTGGGAATTGAGTACGTAGAAAAACCGCATTCATTTTAAATGGTGATTTTTCTAGTCCATTACCCATCTATAGTGTCCGGACGAAGAATAGGACTTTTAACAGCCCTACTAGCTCTCAGGCCCGGGCGATGCTCCGGGGCTAGGTTTTAAGTATTTTTAATCTTAAATTTAATAGTTTTTAAATTTTAAAATTTTAATTAATTCATAATATTTTAGCTCTTAGGCTCAGGTGATGATTTGAGGCTAGATTCTAAGTAATTTTAATCTTAAATTTAATAGTT